GTGGATCAAGATGGAGGAGTGTGCACTGCCTGAGATGGCTTGGGGAGGGATAAAGCAATCTGTAAGGCCTGAGTAATCTGGCACAGAGGAGGAGCAGTATAAGGGCGTGAAGGGCTGGCAGCAGCATCTCACAGCCTAGGTGGGGGAGGAGGCACACCATACCCACTGAGCACTCACTGTATGCTGGGACAGGGCCAAAGGGAAGAGTGCCCTTGTCCGGCCAAATTCCAGCAGACCAGCCCCTGGCTTGCGATCTGGTTTCTAGTCAGGCTTCTGCCAGTCTCGTTAATCACAAAGGCAAGATGAACAAACTGAAGCACTGAGAGAGGAGGGTATTGGCAGGAGATTAGTAACCAAGACTCGACTGGAACCTGGTGTTCTGCATCCAGACACCTAGAATCTCCTACCCGGTATTGTCCTACCTTTCAACAGCATCGCCCAGCCCTGGTCCATATACCACCAGGAATGGGGAGCCAGCTGAAATATGTATCTCTGAAGCTGCCGCCCAGTGGTTCTAGGTCAAGCAGTGTTTCCCCTTCCCCCACTGATACCAAAAAAGAGATGTTCAAGAAGTGGGGGTGGGGGGACTAGAATGGTAGGAGCCATGAGAAAGAGCTGGATTTGGGAAGATAGGGGGAGGTGAGGGAACTGGGCTGGAAGCTACCTCTCCCCTATTCTGGCCCCTTCCAGACTTGTCCAGCGCCCCATCCTCTTGTGCATTCCAAATTTATGTCTCTCTGCACATCTGGGTGGGGGGACTATCCCTACTCCAAAGGAATTTCCAGCACCTTGTATGGCCAGGATTTCTCATTTGTCTCCCCTGTACCCCTGGGCTGGTTGGTGGGGACTGATTTGTGGGAATGGGGAACTCCTCCAGAGGTAATGGAGAGAATCAGAGTGGCCACTGCAGGAAATCTGGGACTGGGGCCTAATGTCCCCATTCTGTGACCCTGTGTACCCTGAGAGTCTGCCTTAGTCTCCCTTCTAGTACCATATGAATCAGCTAAACCCTAGCCAAGCCCTCTAAGCCCAAGATGTGAGTTTTCTGAGGGTCTTTGCCCTGTTTCTCAAGATTCGGGTAAAGTGTCTCTCACCCTGGTTGGCTCCAGAGCTAGTCTTCTGCTGGTTTCTGGTTGCTTCTCCCCTCCTCAGGTCCAAGGCTAATGGTGACCTCTCCATTGCTTTATCGGTTCTAGCCTGGACCACTGCAATGGTCTAACTTTTTCAACTCTTGGACCCTTCAATCTAATCCACACAGCAGCTAAGGAAACCTTTCTGAACTTCAATCAAATCACTTAGGAAAATATCCAAGCTCTGATGTTCAAGGCCTCTAATATCTGAACACTTCTCATACCTCTGTTTCTGTTTTACTCACACACACACATACTTATGAGTATATTTTGAAAAGCATTTGAAGAAATACTACCTTCTGTTCTGGGAACAGTTGCACAGCCCATCCCTGCAAGGCGAGGCCTGCCTGGACCCAGCCTTAAAGAAAACCACAGTGGCAACTGGGTGATTTCCTTTCCTGCCATTGTCCAACTCAGTGGGACTTCTGCTGACACCCTCCCTTCTCTGGCACACACCCCAGCTCCCAAGGAACAACCTGGTTTTTATCTTAAGGCTAGTCATTTACTTCATCATGACCAAGGATCTTTCCAGCAGCTTGAGGGGAAGGGAGAATCCTTTTTTTTTTTTTTAATGCACTTTACCATTTTAATGGATTATACAGGAAAACAGAAGCTGACCTCTTTTTTTTATTGAAATATAATTGATATAACATTATATTAGTTTCAGGTATACAATGTAATGATGGGATATTTCTACGTATTGCAAAGTGATCACCATAGTAAGCCCAGTTAACATCCGTCACCCTAAGTAGTTACCAAAAAATATTTTTCTTGCAATGAGAACATTCAAGATCTACTCTCCTAGCTACTTTCAAATATACAATAGTTTTATTAACAATAGTCACCATGATGTATGTTACATCCCCATGACATTAATTTTATAATTGGAAATTTGTACCTTTTGACTCCTTCACCCATTAGGGGATGGGAGAATTCATGACCTTAAGCTGGGGTTGGGCTTGGGTGAGGAATGGGAAAAGACAGAAGAGGGGGTCCTGTCCCTGGGAGTCCCCGGTCTGAAGAACAGGAAGAGACTGCCTCTGTACTCTGTATCTTTATGCTGTTTTTCCCTCCCTAGCCCCCTTTTCCCTCCTCAGGGAGTCCAGTTGAGGACTTCCTATTACACAATCCTGAGCAGGAGGTGGATTGAGAGGGAAAGGGAAGGGGAGGAGAGGGGGAGGGGGAAGGGAAGGGAAAGGGGAGAGGAGGGGAGGGGAGGGAAGGGAAGGGAAGGGAAGTGGGTAGGGGTGGAGAAAGGCACAGCCAATTTCGCTGCGCACCTACAGCACAGCCTCTAGGGGGCAGTACCGGGGCTGGCACAGCCCTCCTCTAGAAAAGAAGGGACAGGTTGGGCCAACAATCTGGACCAATGGAGATGTAAGCCTCTGCTCCCCAAACATGGGGGCCCCACTTGTGCAGGTCTCATACCTGCACAAGTATTTCAATTGAAACTCTACCATTGAAACTACCATTATAACTTCATTCCTTTGGGTCTTCAATTCAGCAAAGAAGTGCATACTGTGGGTGTGTAAGGTATTGTGTCTGAGAGTCAAGAGGGCATTTTAGTTTTCCAGAGCCCACCTTGGTGGGGATAAGTCTGGTAAATGCTTCTTCACCCTGGGGTGGTGAAGGCGGCACTGGGGGAAACAGGTGGAGTTTCAAGAGGAGCCTCTTTAGGTGTAGGTGGGGAAACAGGACAGTATTTATAGGATGGGTAGTTATTAGGGAAGGCTTCCGGGAGGACATGCTCTGGAGCTTGGAGGGCCTCAGATTGAAGGGGAAATTGTGGTCTCAGTCCCACATTTCTGAACGAGCTGGCCAGAAGCAAAGTAGTGATGATGACAAAGCCTACTCACCTGTCACGTCCGTCTCAGGTTCACTCTCTCCCACCTCATCCGCCTCCCGTAACATGTCCTGGTCCCACCCTGCCATGAATTCTTCCTTCAGAGAGTAGATGAATACAATTTATGGGGGTCCCCTCGCCAAAGTACCTGTGTTTTGTTTTGTTTTTTAAAGATTGTATTTATTTATTTGACAGAGAGAGACACAGCGAGAGAGAGAGCACAAGCAGGGGGAGTGGGAGAGGGAGAAGCAGGCTTCCCGCTGAGCAGGGAGCCCGACGTGGGGCTCCATCCCAGGACCCTGGGATCATGACCGGAGCCGAAGGCAGACGCTTAACGACTGAGCCACTCAGGCGCCCCAAGTACCTGTGTTTTAATGGAAAACTCTGTGAGGCCCAGAGGAATGACTCCAAAGCCATACATGGTATTCTAAAGCAGAGTCTTCCCTTGGGCACTTCATCCTCAAAGCACCCCACATATAGGCAACTGCCAGGGCCATCTACTTTTTTTTTTTTTTTTTAAGATTTTATTTATTTATTTGACAGAGAGAGAGCGAGCCAGAGAGCACAAGTGCGGGGGTGGAGAGGAAGCAGACTCCCCGCTGAGCAGGGAGCCCAATGAGGAGCTCTATCCCAAGACCCTGGGATCATGACCTGAGCCAAAGGCAGACGCTTAAAAGACTGAGCCACCCAACTGCCCCACCATCTACCTTCTTAAGCCTCAATTTCCCCAGCTATAAAAATGAGCAGCAAAATTAGGTCATTTTCCAGGTCCCTTCCAGCTCTGACGTGTAAGGTTTTAGCATTTTGAGCTTCAACAGTCTCCCATGCTGAGGCACGGGGCTGGCCAGCCCTTGTTAGGAGGCAGCTAGTCTGTGGTTTGGCACCACTGCCCGGCCGGCATTTATTAAATCAGTGGGATGTGGTCCCTGCTGGCCTGGAAAGAGAACATTAAGCTCCAAAAACTTCCTGCAGCAGGCCTCCTTCAGAGAGCACTGCTCAGAGGGGTGAGGAACAAAACCATTCAGGGCCTTGGCGGTGCTCCAAGATCCTGTTCGCTCGTATTTTTGCCCTGTCTGCACGGAGAACCAGTGACTGAAAACATCTGGAAGCCTGCTAAAGACTTGGGTGACTTCTCTCTCTTTCCTTCAGGGGTGGCTGTTCTCGACCTTGGTAATCCAAGTTGACCTTTGCCAATGCCCCTTCGCATCCAACCTTCTGCACTTCACTGGGCAACAACCCTCTAATAAAATCCACATGAATCCATCTGCTAACAGCTCCTGGAAGGGCTGGAGGATCTAACACCTGCCCCGCATTCCTTGAGCCCTAGTAGCAAGGGAGAACAGGGCTGAGACCCAACTCCCGCGCCTCTGGGTCTTACAGTTGAATTGGAGAGAAAGGAAGTAGGTAGGAAGAGAGAATTGTCGATGAGAGCTTGCTAAGGGTGCAGAAGGCAGCTGCAGGCAAGGAGGGCACAGGTGGAGTAATGGGGCTGCTGGGTAGCCTAGCAGAGTCCCCCAGGCCTGGGCATGCCTCTTGCCAGTGACCTCAGCCATGCTGACCAGGTCCCTGGTGACTCATGGGGTCCATGTGTCACAGGCCTGGTGGTCCAGAGTTGTCTGTCCCTTGTCTCCCTCTTGTGACCTGGGATATGTCACAGATTCCCTGGGTCTCTATTTTAGGAAGTTATCAACTGAGCACCCACGACATGTGCCTGGTGCCAGGGAGAGGGTGCATCAGTGAGTAGAACACACCCAATTCCTGTGCTCTGGCCCCTATGGCTTGTATATCCTGTCCAACTACAGGTCACAGTCTCGGGTACACTGGCGGGCTGGGGTCAGAGTGTTTGCAGTTCCTGAGGCAGGAGAACCACCCTGGTAGTGTCTGCTCTCTCCTCTCCCAATTCCTCCCTCAGCTTCTCTGGGGCATAGTGCGTGGTCACAAGATTCTCTCTGGCTAAGGTCGGAGCTCCATTTCACTTTAGCTTTCTCCGCACGAAGGGCAAGAGTCCAAGAAATAAAGACAACAGGTTAGATGGACAGATAAACTGCCTGAAGTTTATTTATAAAATACAAGGACGAACTTACTGCGCCTAGACTTTTTCTTTTTTTAAACTCCTCATTTGCCTTCCTTTTCACCCAGCTGAGACGTTTGTTTGCTCTCCTCTGAAGTTCTCAGCTGATTTTACTAACCGATCTGCTCTTTGGTACGATGAGCCAAAGACCCACACAACCTTCCCCGGGCTGACACTGTTCATCTCAGAAGGCCCTCAAGGATCCCACTGAGGTAAATGACTGCTCTGGTCAGCTCAGGATGCTGAGGAGCAGAGAAACTGGTGTCCTTTTTGGAGTGCGGCCTGCATCTCCTTGAACTGAGCCAACTGGCAGGCCTCGTCCAGCCCCAGCCAGCGGTAGGCCTGGTGCTCTTGGGAGAGGCGGATCTCCACATTGTAGTCCTTCACCTCGGCCAGCCAGTAGATGACTGTTTTAGGCTTCTTCCTGGCCACATAATTGAGCTCCATTCTGAACCCCTCAATGATGGTCAGCTGGCCGGCTGCTATGCCGGCTTCCTCCTGAGTCTCCCGCAAGGCCGTTTCCAAGTCATTTTCTCCTGGTTCCACATGGCCTGGTTAGGAGAAAAAGAGGAAAGGGAGCAAGAGAGACTCTTCAGCAAAGGTGGAATTTTCAGGTCTGACGATTAAAGATGGGGATCTTTGGCGGCTTTTCTAGATGTTGCTAGGCTCAAGGGGGCCTAGAGATCGGCAATATCCTAACTATGCCTGGGAATGGGGCGCAGAGCCGGTAGCGTCTGGGCAATTCCTCCTCCCCACCCCATCTTCTCTGCAGAGAGTTAAACAGACCATGTGTTTGGCAAGTCTGGTCTAGAAGAAGGCTCTTCAGTGGTGAGAGAGATGGCCTCCCTCAGACCTCTGCTTTAGCCTTTGGAGCCTTCCTCATCCCATGTTCTCAGGGAGCCCTTTCCCTTGGAGACCTTAAATCGATTTTCTGAAGGAGGGGCAGTCCCTTCTTGGCAGACAGGAGCTGGCTAAGGAGGGAGCACTTTGCCTACAGTCTACAGTGAGGACTTAACACTGTCTTAGTTGGTCCCTGAAGTCCCAGGGCCAACAGGTTCCAAGCCCTGCACTGCAGCCCCAGCAGCTGTTTCCAAGTAGCTATCAAGGCTTTTCCACGTTGTTTTCATCTTTCTAACGGAGCAAGGCCAGATTCCAGTTTCACAGGGAAATTCCTGATGGGAACTTAGACTAAGGACAAGCTGAGAGCCAGTTCTAAGAAAATTTGTTGGCAAGACCCAAACCCAAGGAGACAGCTGCCAAGAAACTGTTGTAGGAGAGCTTGAAGCTCTGCAGACTGGGAGCAGCCCTCAGTCTTGCCTCCAGGCCTTCCCTGCAAATTCTCAGCCTGCCTGGAGGGGCCAAGAAGGACAGGGAGGAGTCTGGCAGCCTCTGTCAACACAGGGCTCCAGCGAGTTGCTGGGGGCCTCCTGGTTCAGGAGCTCCTGGGGAGCAGGAATTGTTAGCTGTTCCTGTCTTGGTTCCGAGACAGGGCTATATCCTAGCTCTCCTCCTTCCCAGGGGTTCTCACAGCAGTGCCCTGAGTCAGAGAGGTTGCTGCACAGCTCCCACAGAGTCAGGACTTAAAAACCCAACCTAGCTCATGGCTTCTGGAGAATTTTCTCTGTATAGCACCTCATGCAGCCGTGTACACAAAGCCAGATAGGTACTGCATGGGGGGGGCGGGGAGAGAGGGGTGCTGGTGGTGAGAGAGGTGAGCGGATCCTCACACCCCATCCGCACTCAGAAGTGTGGGGAATCTCTGAACATGCCCTTCCCAATAGCATCTGTGCTCCATCTTCCCATCAGTGTTAACAGGACAACCTCTCCCTAGGCCCAAGCAGGACAAAATTTGGAGAGGTCCTTTGAAATCTTTCAGTGAGAGGTACTATGCAATGACTTTGGCAATCAGGAGATAAGTGTGAATATTCCTATTCACTTCTGTCCCTTTCTTTCACCTTATTTCTCCTTAGTGAAATGCAAATGTGCAAAGTTCATTTCCTGTTCCCCTTTCCTTATTTTCCTCCAACCCTGGATCCTTGTTCACCCCTCTCCCACAGCACTCCCCTTTAAAGTCTCTGCTCCATTCTGTCTGGGGACTGCTCACACAGGGCTCCTGACCTGTAACCCAGTAATGACTAGACCCCAAGGTCCCCAATTCCCAGCACAGTGCCTTTTCTCCATTTACCACAGAGGCTGGTGCTCCAGTGAAACACACACACACACACACACGCTGCTTCTGCCCTGGGATTCAATCACAGAGTTCTACTTCCAGTCACTGGGACGTAAGCTTTATGGGGTGCCTGATAGGGTACTTTCTCGAGAGCCAGCCCCTCTGCCTTGCACCTTTGGGAGGAGTCCAGTGATGAATGCCGTCTGATGCCTGCAGCAGTAGAAACTCAATTGCAGGTTTGTCCACCGTGGGAATGAGGCATCTTCGGAAGATGATCAAGCCACATGCTCTCAGGGCCATGGTCTATTTGAGGACTTAAGAAGATGGGAGACATTGGGAAGTTACGCAAAACAGGAGGATCCATCCTGGGGGCAGCATCTAGTGCTGGGGAGTAGCACAGATCAGCTAATAGTGACCTCATCAACTACAGAAAAAGGCAGCATTCCAAGGACCGGTGGGGGGAAATGAGGAATCAGAGACTGATTTGTGAATGATGGTAGGACCCTGGCCCCTACCCTGTCTGTGCAGCTCTATCCCAACTCCTCCAGGTCTCCCTGCTAAGACACAGGGCTGGTGTGAGTGTGTTAAGAGACCGGAGGTCCTTGGAGGCAAACCCACTGAACCTGTAGAGATGCTGGAAATAGGAGAGATGAGGAACATCATCATCAAACCCATGGTCCCATTTCCCTCAGCCTCCAGCCTGAGTCTGCGGGGCAGAGACTCCAACGATGGGGTTTCTGATGGCCTGAGGGGTCACTTAGGAAAGGTAGCTTGCTGTACTAAAAACATTTTAGAATGTTATACATTCACATGGTGCAAAATTCAAAGTACAAAAAGACACAGTAGAAAGTCTTTTTCCCACCCAATGAGAAGCACACTAGCATAGTGGGTCAAGAGTGTGACTCTGCAGCCTGGGGTCAAGTTCTGACTTTGCCATTTATTCACTGTGTGCTTAGCTCCTAAGCCTCAGTTTCCTCTGCTGTGAGACAGGATAGTAACAGTTCTACCTCAAAGGGTTGCTGTGAGGATCACATGACTTAACTTTTGTAAAGGGCTTTAGAACAGCGCCTGGCACGTAATGAGCACTCGGTAGGTTTCAATATGCATAGGAAAATGTCTGAAAGGATACACATCATTAATAGTGTTTTCTGGAGGACGAGATTATGGCGAGACTTTCATTTTCTAGTCCCTATATTTCTGCCTTGTTTGGAAGTTCACAGAGAACATTTATTAATTTTATAATCACCAATTCAGTAAAGACTAAAATGTTTTAGTCTTTTCCATTTCAGTTACTTTTATTTTAAGATTTTCTTTTTATTTGAGAGAGCACAAGCAGGGAGGAGAGGGAGAAGCAAGCTCCCTATGAGCAGAGAGCCCGATGCAGGACTCGATCCCAGGACCCTGAGATCATGACCTGAGCCGAAGGTAGACACTTAACCGATTGAGCCACCCAGGTGCCCCTCAGTTACTTTTCTTTCCATTTCAGAAAAGAACGTCCACAACAACAAAAGACAGAAAGGGAGAAGAGTAGGAGTACCTGCAGCAGTGAAAAAACAATTCATCATCTGAAGGGGGACATGTCATCAAGGTAACAAAAAATATGGAAGATCTCTTATGTAAGCCCTCGCTAAAGAAAATGTGTCATTGGTTCGGTCAACAAATATTTACTGAGTACTGACTATGTAATAAGTACTGTGCTAGGCCTCTGCTCTCATGCAGTTTATATTCTAATGGGAGAGGCAGATGTTTTTTTAAAGATTTATTTATTTATTTGAGAGAGAGAATGAGATAGAGCATGAGAGGGGGGAGGGTCAGAGGGAGAAGCAGACTCCCCGCTGAGCAGGGAGCCCGATGTGGGACTCGATCCCAGGACTCCAGGATCATGACCTGAGCCGAAGGCAGTCGCCTAACCAACTGAGCCACCCAGGCGCCCCAAGATTTATTTATTTATTTTAGAGAGAGTGTGTACATGAGCTGGTTGGGGGGGGAAGAAGGGGGGAAAGAATCTCAAGCAGATTCCATGCTGAGCTCAGAGCCCATCCTGGGGCTTGATCCCACAACCCTGAGATCATGACCTAAGCCCAAACCAAGAGTCAGACACTTAACCAGGTGCACCATCCAGATGCCCTGGAAGAGGCAGAATTTAATCAAATAATTAAGCAATTTAAAAAATAATTGCCAATAAGGTATGTGCTACAAAGGAAAAATGTGTGATAGGTAACCTGACCTTGTCTGAGGGATCAAGGAAGACTTCCTGGAAAAAGGGATGTTTGAGCAGAGAAGTAAGGATGAGTAAAAGGTAAGTTGGCAATGGGAAGGAGGGAGAAAGTATGTTCCAGGTGGAGGGGACAGCATGGGCAAAGGCCCTGAGGTAGGATGGCAGAACTGAAAGAAAATCAGGTGTCTCAATGCAGCAAAGGCCTAGGACAGTGGCCCAGGCAGGAAAAGACCTAAGTCAGTAGGGCCTCATCTGCAAGATTGCAGGGCCAAAGAAGGCGCTGCTGCACAGATAGCAGGGCTGAAGAGAGGATGGCTGGAGCTGGAGGGAATGTTCTCCACGGCCCCCATGCTGTTACTCAATCAAGATGAACCTGGGGGCACTGGGTGGCTCAGTCAGTTGAGCGTCTGCCTTCGGCTCAGGTCATGGTCCTGGGATCGAGTCCTGCCATCGGGCTCCCTGCTCGGCGGGGAGTCTGCTTCTCCCTCTCTCTCTGACCCTGCCCCCACTTGTGCGTGCTCGCTCGCTCTCTCTCACTCTCTCAAATAAATAAATAAAATGTTAGGGGCGCCTGGGTGGCTCAGTCGTTAAGCATCTGCCTTCAGTTCAAGTCATGATCCCAGGGTCCTAGGATCGAGCCTTGCATCAGGCTCCCTGCTCTGTGGGAAGCCTGCTTCTCCCTCTCCCACTCTCCCTGCTTGTGTTCCTTCTCTTGCTGTGTCTCTCTCTGTCAAATAAGTAAATAAAATCTTAAATAAATAAATAAATAAAATGTTTAAAAAAAAAAAAGATGAGCCTGCATCTGTCAAAGGCACAAAAATCAGACCCAAACTGAAACTCATTCCTTAGGACTGCCAACAGATGGTTTACCAAAAAACCAAATGCACGCAACACTGTGATCTTTCCAAATGTTTCTTTCCTTTTTTTTTTAGATCTTATTTCTTATTTATTTATTTGAGAGAGAGAGAGCATGAGCGGGGAGGGGAGGGGGCAGAGGGAGAAGAAGACTCCCCAGAGCAGGAGCCGCACATGGGTCTCCATCCCAGGATCCCAAGATCATGACCTGAGCGGAAGGCAAATGCTTAAACGACTGAGCCACCCAGACGCCCCGGTAGCAGGCTTTTTAAAACATTATATTCTATTTCCCTGGTCTCCCTATTATGCCAAGAATTTTCCCCATTCTGGAAACCAGAAAGAAGCACCCTGTCACCACAGAACTGGTGAACAGAGATTTCAAATTATTGGTTCCAGTTCAGGCAAAAACAGGTACCTGATCCCCTGCCCTCCTATCAAGCTGCTCATACAGTATTAGCAAGTTCCAGGTGAAGGGCACCTTGTTCCTGCTTTGGGTAGAGTCTCATGTAATGAATGTTGGAATCCCTAGATAGGCTTAGGGATCTAAGACTAGAGGGCAGTGCCCTGCCTTAGACAGGAAGCCCCAGAGCATTGCTCTACACCACAACCATCACCCATACATCATGGGGAAACAATAGTAGCTGGATGGGGGGGCCAAGAAAGACAGGCCTGGGGTGGCCATGTGGAGCCACTGGAAAGAGAGGAGCAGGCCAATATTTTCCCACGGGGGGAGAAGCTTAGGGTAGTGACAAGGGCACACCTCGCAAAAATGTATCTCAGTAGATACCAATGTGTAGGGATAACCACATCTAAGAACCAGACCAACCAGTGGTTCATCTCAATGGAACCAGAAGACCTAGAATCAAGAACTAGGATCAGATGTCCACTTTCTCCCTATGCTATGGACCCATGGAGAGGACAGTTGTTCTAGAAAGGCAAAACTCCGATCTACCCTTTTCAGTTGCTTGGCTTGAGCCAGCTGTTCTCTAGAATTTCTCTCCTTCCCCATACACATTACTTCCTACTCATGCTTTCAGAAGCAGCTAGCTTCTGTGAAGCCTTCTGGCTTCTAATCATCTCATCTTCTGGGCCTTCAACACGGCTTGAATAAACTTCTGTAGGGTTGATCGGAGAACACTATGAGACAATTAAGGATTTAGTGTAGGGATTAGATCTTGTGCAATTATGGAAGTCGATGGAGAAATCCATGCAACTCTGTCACCTCTGCATCCGGTGTTGAGGCTGAAGTCTCTATAGGTCAGCAAGGCCAGCAGTTGGGAAGGGAAGCTGGATGCAAAGTGGAGGAGAGCGAGGAAAACTGGAACTTGTGAAGACAAACCAGATCCTATGAGGACAAGTAGAACTCCTGAGGACACACTGAAACCTGTGACGTCCTTTCACCATCTCCAAGCTCATTAACGTGGGTAACTTTGAGGAGCTGGAGCCCTTTGCCATAGAGCTGAATGTTCATCTGGCCCAGCACCCAGAGTATCTGAAGGAGTAGATTCCGCAGGAGTTGGGGAGCTGCAGGCCTGGGTGCTTTATCCGGCACCAATAAGGTGAACCCGCAGATCAGCATCCAAACAAAGGTATGCACTGCCACATGCTTGGTATCCTGCTCTGTCTTTCACAGTGTGCTGGCTGCTACTTCACTGCAGCTTTCCAAATCGTGCACACGATTTTCTTGAGGTCGACCCTAACTTGGAACCATATAGGAAGGGAATCCTGGGAAACACAGTTCCAGCTCAGCCAAGTGGACACAGTACAAAGCCACCACGAGCCCAGTACCTAGTCTGGTAAGTCTCAGGCTGTACCTTTGGCAGGGAAGGTCCAGACTGTGCACTCTGTCTCCTTGGAACCCAGCACAGCAGCTCTCAACAGATGTTCACTGACTCAACAGAACACTCTCCCCACATCCCACTCGAACAAATGCGCAGGGTATGCTCTGGGATTTTGGGAAATAGCCCAGTGTTTTCCTGAAGAGTGCCATTTACATAAAAGTCAATGGAGCTATTGTTGTAGGTTTTCTGTTTTTCTGGAGACCATGGAGTGAAACTGTCCTGGTGTTTGAAAGAGGCCAGCTTATAGAGAAACACACACACACACACACACACACACAAGACTCCAAGTGGATTCAAACCTCAGGGGGTTAAAGAACACAGCATCCAATATGCAAATGTGCTTGCAGCCAGGATTGCAGAGATGAGAACTCCAGGCTGACAGCAGGCAATTCACACTTCAGAAAAGTGGCAAAGTGCCTTAGGTGGTTAAAAAAAACCTGAACAAAAAAACTCCTCAATGTCATCAGAAGGTTCCAGAAGCTAAGGAAAAGTGCTCTTGCCTTTCTCTCTATATACATTTCCCTTATAGCTTAGGAGGTTCAGGACCTAGGTGCCAAAAATAATTCACAGATAAATGGCTGTACTGATGTGTTGTGTTCTAATGTTTTCATCAAATTAATCAGTGTGCAATTGCAAGCATAGCTCAACCCCCAAAAGCCCTCACAAATATACCTTTAGATACAGAAAGAGTTCCCCCAATCCTCTCAGCGTGTTCCTTATAATCTAAAAGCCTTTTAGCAGAAACTCTTTCATGCCACCATGTTATCAATTAAGCCTCGACACTGTGCCAGCTACATTGTGCAAGGTTCTTTGAGTGTGTGTTTTTCAATGTTCAAGACAAATCTGAATCATAAGCAGGATTGTCTCCAGTTTTGGATGAGGAAACTAAGATTCAAAAAGGTTAAAATACTAGCCCAAGAGCATAGCTGGTCTGTGAATGGCAAGATTTGAATCCAAGTAAGCCTAACTCCGAAGTGTATATTTTTACCCCCTTCCACAGCTCTGCTTAATGTGAAAGAGCAGAGCTTAGAGCACAGATGGTCCTGAGAGAGGACATGCAAATAATTCATACAATTATTTCCAGTTCCCAAATTCCCAGGATTTTTAAGGTACCTGGCTGGAATCCTTTCCACAGGACAGGTTTTAGTTGGGGTGGAGGAGGGAGGGTGTGTAGATGAAGGTCCTCGAGCCCAGAGTTGACCCTGGAGAGGTAAAGTGTAGCCTGAGGCCCTGAAACTTGGCCTATCTGATCAGAGTTTCTGTGGGTCCTCTGCTTTTTCTCTGAGAAGCAGGAACCTAAAATCACATGTTCAAAACCTTATCAGGTAGCCTGGGGGTTCCCAACAACCAAGTGTTGGGAATACCTTTAATGCTAGCCTTGGACAAACACACAAGCAACTAACTTAGGGTGCTGGTATCCAGGAAAGTTGCCCAGGCCACTCCACTGTGAGGAGGAAGGCCAACTCTGCCTGCCCACAAGCAACTCCCACTGCTCAGTTTTCCCTTTCCTCCGACATCATAATGGTCTTTTCTGATTCTCCAACTCCCCTCTTCCCTTTCAAAGGACTGAACAGAAATGAGGTGCCCATCTGTGAATTAAGCTCTTTCTTGTAAAAACAACAACAAAAAGAGAAAAAGGAAAAGGAAAGAAAAGGAAAAAGCTCCCAACTACTGTGAATAAATTGAGACAAAGAAAATGTTCCCTCAAATGCACCTTTTCCTAGACATCTGCCACTCTCTTTTCTCATAGAAACCAACCTGCTGAGTCATCTTGCTATCTTGGCTATTTGGCTGAGGGCAGAAACAGGAGATTTCACCTGTAATGGCATGAATATTGGCTTCTAGGATGAGGCCAAAGTCAGACAAGGTTGGAACAAAAATCATTCCTAGTAAAGAGGATCTGTTAAGTGGCCTATTAGTGCCATCTGCTGTACAATTCTAGAAAGCAAACATGGGGAATTCTAATATTAGAGCCTGAAGGGATTTACTTACTCATGTAACATCTGTTGAGTGTGTCCCCTTTGACAAGCAGTGTGACAGGATTGAAGAGTGGATATGAATCTGAATATTATAAAGCCACAGCTTTCTAAGTGTTCACAGCCTCATGAAAGTGGAAGGTACTTAGACAAGTTGCCAGTTTATTTTGTGCACCATAGGGGTATGTATAAGATGGAAAGGAAGCAACGAAGCGAGAGTGATTATCTTTAGGTCAAAGGGGCACCCCGTAGGATTCTGAAGGATGGCTAGGAATTCACCAGGCAGAATAAAGGTGGAGGCAAGGGGCATTCCAGGCAAAGGGAGGAGTGTGGGTAAAGACCCTCAAGCACAAAATGACATTCCACTGATAAACAGTTTGTAGGCAATGAGGAGGAGCCTTTGACTGGTTTTAGGCAGGGCTGCCAATATGGTCAGACTGACATTTTACAAAAACAAATTCTGGCAGCAAGGAAGGTGGAGAATGGATTAGAAGATTGGAGGCAGGAAGACCAACCAGTCACAAGCTTTTTGCCAACAACAGTCCAGATGACAAATGATACAGAGTTAAATTAAGGCAGAGACCCCGAGAAAGGAGAGGAAGGGATGAATTTGAGAGATATCTCAAAAAGAAAACCAACAGTATTTAATGTTTCATTGTCCAAGGAAGAGGGGTGGGGGAGAGGGGAGAAGAGAGAGAGAGAGGGAGGGAGAGGTTGTTTGGTTTGGGTGACTAGAGAAGTTGGTGGAGTAGGGAGTAGAAAGTAAGCTAATGATTTGTTTGGGAAAAGATGAATCTGAAGTGCTGTTGACTACCCACACGGTAAATGAACAGAGGGAATCGTGCTCAGTGATCATCTCATTCCATCTCTTCATTTCCAAAGGTGAAAATTTCCTACTGGAGAAAGATTTTGCTCCCACCATAGATACCTCTGCAAGCCACCTCCCTCCACTTGGGTAAGTCTGCCTGTGCATCTGGTATTCAAAGCATTTTATCCTCCTTCAGACAGAAACAACATGGAAAAGCATGGCTAACTTTGCAGTGAAAAAGACCCAGCTCCCTAATTCAACAGTTGTATTACTTTAAGCAAAATACTTTTCTAAGCCTCATTTTCCTGATCTGTAGAATGAGGGTAACTTCTACTTTACATGATTGTTGTAGAGTTTAAAAAACATATATATAGGATCTGACATATCAGAAGTACTGAATATATGAGTCACTTTCACTCCTGTTATCATAAAAGGTCATCAAGAAGCTTCTGTGTTACGTTTTTTTTTTTTTTAAAGATTTTATTTATTTATTTGACAGAGATAGAGAGCACAAGTAGGCAGAGAGGCAGGCAGAGGGAGAGGGAGAAGCAGACTCTCCACTGAGCAAGGAGCCTGACGTGGGGCTCGATCCCAGGGATCATGACCTGAGCCGAAGGCAGCCGCTTAACCAACTGAGCCACCCAGGTGCCCCTTCTGTGTTATGTTTTAATTGCAAGCTCTTAGCTTCTATTGATAGTTGAATCAAGAAATGGCTTTTCAGGGGCTCCTGGGTGGCTCAGTTGGTTAAGCGACTGCCTTCGGCTCAGGTCATGATCCTGGAGTCCCTGGATCGAGTCCCGCATCAGGCTCCCTGCTCGGCAGGGAGTCTGCTTCTCCCTCTGACCCTCCCCACTCTCATGTGCTCTCTCTCATTCTCTCTCTCTCAAATAAATAAATAAAAAATCTTAAAAAAAAAAAAAAGAAATGGCTTTTCATAATTCCAGCAAAACTGCTGGTGAACACACTGTTCACCACACCATTATATTCCTTATGCATAAAGTACCACAAGATAAATTCCTTTCAATAAGTACTAGGAAGAAGAAAAAAAAAATAAGTACTAGGAAGAAATTTCACTCTTTTGCGAAAAATGGTTTCCTTAATTATTTCTCTGACAAGTTTTGAGCTAAATTGGGTACTTGCAGTAAGTCTACTGGCCTTGTTAGCTAGTATATTTGTTTGTTTCTATTATGAAGGTAATAGGTACCATTTTTTGAGGGGTTACTGCTTGCCAGGCATTGTGCCAAGTGCTTTACTTTCATTATTTCACTTAATCTTCACAACAACCCTCTGAGTCTTTCCCGCAATTTTTCAGAAGAGGAAAAAGGAAAGCAGGTCTGCCTGATTCCCAACATCATTGCTGTTAACCTCGACTCTGTATTAGCGTTTTACATTTGGCTATTTGATTGCATTGTGGTTTTTTTTTTTTTTAAGATTTTATTTATTTATTCATGAGAGAGCGAGAGAGAAAGGCAGAGGGAGAAGCAGGCTCCCAAGGAGCAGGGAGCCCGATGCGGGACTCGATCCCAGGACCCTGAGATCATGACCCGAGCCGAAGGCAGACGCTTAACCATCTGAGCCACCCAGGCGCCCTCTTTTCTTTCTTTTTTTTTTTTTTAAGATTTTATTTATTTGACAGAGAGTGAGTTAGCGAGAGTAGGAACACAAGCAGGGGGAGTCGGAGAGGGAAAAGCAGGTTTCCCGCCGAGCAGGGAGCCCGAGGAGAGGCTCAATCCCAGGACCCTGGGATCATGACCTCAGTTGAAGGCAGACGCTTAATGGCTGAGCCACCCAGGCGCCCCGGAAGAGCTCCCTTGTTTGACTCCAGAAGGAGATGGTTTCATCATTCTCTGCTGCCTTCTTTCCAGTGTGAACATAGTTACCAGCACAGCCGTTAGCCATGGCCCAGACGAGGCTCGGCTCAGAGCTGGCCAGGGGGCATCTGGCGATAATCCAGGAGCGTGGAGACCGTTCTCCCGCAGTTATTCTCCGACCTTTCTCCACCCCTATTTTCTTTCCCTTTTTTCGGAGATACAATAACAAATACATAGGGCCCCCAAACCGGGCCAGAACAAAGGAAAAGGAAGTTCTGTTTTAGATGGTGGGACTCTGGTGTGATTTTCTTTTTTTACTACTGCTAATTGCCAAGATATTATCTATTCAATAAATGAAGCCATTAGAACATACAAAATCTCTTCTGGAAAGCAGACAGGGTATAAAGGGTAACAAAGTGAAACAGGCCAACGGCACTCCTGCCGCCGGTCCCTAAACCCGGAACTCTGGAATTCCGACGTCCCACCCCATCACCACCAGCAAGCGGGCCAGCAATGCTCAGAGCCATAGAACCCTCCCCTCTCCCTGAGCATAGAGGAAAACTGAGGTCCTGCGAGCGGCCGGGGCCTGGCCTGCCCGCGCCTCAATGACAGCCTGGTGTGTCCACCCTTGACGGTGCAGCGACGGGAGATTATTCAGCTGCAGAGTCCCATCGCTCCAACGATCAGTTCCTCCGTGGAGCCCTGCACCCAGATCCCCCTCTCTAACACTACTCACCCAAAGCTCAGGGCGGCAGGAGGCAGGCCTTGAACAGAAAGGGGGAGTACGACGACCAATCCGGAAGGTTCGGTTGCGCTTAGAGCGACCAACAGGGTAGAGTAGAAGGTCCCTCCACCCGCCTCAAAGATGCCGTACTTTCACTTAGAACGTCGCGAGATCTTCACTCATGCGATATGATTGGTTGAAAGGCGCAGCCTGAGAGTTACGCCCACTGCTTCCTTGGATCCCTGATTGGTCTTCTCGAGAAGAAGGCCTCTAACGTCAACGAGCTCCCCCGGCGCCCATTGGTGGATGAGGCGGGGCTGCCGGCGCGCGGGCGCCGGCGCGGGCGTTCGAACCCGCGCTTGGTGGCGTTACCATGGGGATGCGGCCTGGCCGGCGCCTCAAAAACTGGTGAGTTGACAGCACGCCCGCCAACTTTGGGGCTCTCTCCTGTCGGCATTGTCTTCTGTCCTCAGGGTTGACCGAGGGGGAACTTGGAAGCCACCGAGGTGAGAAATGGTGGGGAGAACCGGGGAGGAGAGGGGTAGGCCTGTGCCCCGCGGGAGGGGGCACGCTGGACGCCTACAGAGCGTGAGAGGAGGCGGCGGTTGCAAGGAAACCCGGGTTTGGCCTCTCCTGGTTGTTCGAACGCTCACCTCCTCTCCTACCCTTCATCCCCTTATCTCTGCCTTTTCTTCAGTGATTATCTCGAGCGCTACTTCTCCCATGAAGCCTTTCTGAGTCTCGAAATCTTCTTGCCTTTGAACCCATGGCCCTGCGTGGAACCTTAGAGCACTTCTATTCGGCCTTGGGTTATTTGGGTACTTCCGTGAGCCTCGTTCTCCTCGTTCCTCCCATATAATTTAGAGGTTTTTGAGGCAGAGCGACCATCTTTGATTCCCAGTGTCTTACACACAGTAGAGTTTTCAGGAAATACTTGAGTTGAGTTTAATTCACCACAGATGGATTGGGTTTCCCTCTATGCACTGCCCTGTTTTCCCTCCCGTTCAGAGGGGTTTTTGTTGTTGTTGTTGTTGTTTATGGGAGTAGAGGGAGGGTACCCTAATCTCATATTCGGTAGAACCTGAAAGTCCACGGTTGGCCTTTCCACTGTTGGTGAAAGGAAAGGTTTTTGGAGTGTTTGCTAGAACTCTTCTGGTATTGTGGCTTTTAGTCTTGTTCTCCCAATGCTTTTATTAAACTTCCTAATGAGTCTTTGCTTAAAACAAACCATTCCTGTTGTTGCTGAACTCCAGGGGTATCTCAGTTTCTTAGTGACCCACAGCTGTTGTCACATTTTAAGAGTGCTGTGGAAACGGTTTTAAAGCATTTTCTCCTTTGTATTCTCCTTGTAGTCACTCTGCTTCAGGTGCATATAACAGCTGCCCTGGTAGTTGTCCATTCATCAGCTGTCCATGATAGAATTGCATTACCAAGACTGTTGTTTTGTCAACTCATAAGACTATATTGCCAGTCTGGATTGTTGATGATTCTCATGTGAAATTCATAGCTCAATGATTTTAATAAGAGGATTGAAAAAGTCAGATATAATAGCTGTGTTATTATTATCCTCTTATAAAAGTTTGACCACAACCATATAGCTAAACTGTAGATCTGTGACATGTAATGGAAACCAGATTGGGGATTCAGGGTTTGGCTTTGGCTCTATCTCTACTCACTGTGGCTGACTTTGCAAGTCATTTAGCCCTTTTAGACCTCACTTTTTTCAACTGGAAAATCAAAGTGTTGAATTATATTAGAATTCCTGTGACTCTACTATCAACTTAAGCAATTGGTTATTTTTTTAAAATTCCAGTATAGTTAACATACAGTGTTACTAGTTGCAGGTGTACAATACACTGATTCAGTAATTCTCTACATTACTCAGTGATCATCATAAGTGTACTCAATCCCCTTCACCTGTTCACCCATTCCCTCCACCCACCTCCCCTCTGGTAACCATCAGTTTATTCTCTGTAGTTAAGAGTCTGTTTTTTGGTTTGTCTCTTTTTTTCTTAGCTCATTTGTTTCTTAAATTCCACGTAGGGGTGAAGTGATATAGTATTTGTCTTTCTCTGACTTACTTCACTTAGCATTTTAACCTCTAGATCCATCCATTTTGTTGCAAAATGGCAAGGTTGCATTTTTTTATGGCTCCATAATATTCCACTGTATATGTATTCTATCTTCTTTACCTGTTCATCTATTAAAGAATACTTGGGGGGCGCCTGGGTGGCTCAGTCATTGTCTGCCTTTGGCTCAGGCCATGATTCCAGGGTCCTGGGATTGAGACCCGCATCGGGCTCCCTGCTAGGCAGGAAGCCTGCTTCTCCCTCTCCCACTCCCCCTGCTTCTCCCTCTCCCACTCCCCCTGCTTCTCCCTCTCCCACTCCCCCTGCTTGTGTTCCCTCTCTCGCTGTGTCTGTCTCTGTCAAATAAAATCTTAAAAAAAAAAAAAAGAATACTTGGGCTGCTTGGCTGTTGTAAATAATGCTGCAATAAAAATAAGGATGCATTTATGCTTTTTTTTTTTTTAAAGTTTTTATTCATTTGAGAGAGAGCGAGAGACAGAGCACAAGCAAGGGGAGCAGCAGAGGGAGAGGGAGAAGCAGGCTCCCCACAGAGCAGGGAGCCCGATGTAGGGCTCGATCCCAAGACCTGGAGATCATGACCTGAGCCGAAGGCAGACACTTAACCATCTGAGCCACCCAGGTGCCCTTATACTTTTTTTTCTAGAGAGGGAGTGCATGTGCAAAGAGGAGAAGGGGAGGGGCAGTGGGGGAGGGAGAAAGAATCTTTTTTTTTTTTTTTTTCCCCTCAAAGATTGTTTTTCTGGGCACCTGGGTGGCTCAGATGGTTAAGCGTCTGCCTTCGGCTCAGGTCATGATCTCAGGGTCCTGGGATCGAGTCCCGCATCGGGCTCCCTGCTCCTCGGGAGCCTGCTTCTCCCTCTGCCTCTCTCTGTCTGTCATGAATAAATAAATAAAATCTTTAAAAAAAAAAAAAAGATTGTTTTTCTTTGTCAGAGAGAGAGAGCGAGAGCGCGCACACACGCGTGGCGTGCAGGGGGAGCAGCAGGCAGAGGGAGAAGCAGGCTCCCTGCTGAGCAAGGAGCCCAATTCGGGGCTTGATCCCAGGACCCTGGGATCATGACCTGAGCTGAAGGTAGATGCGTAACCGACTGAGCCACCCAGGCCTCCGGAGAGAGAGAATCTTAAGCAGCGAGCCCAGTGTGGGGCTCAATCTCACGACCCTGAGATCATGATCTGAGCAGAAATCAGGAGTCCGTTGCTTAATGGACTGTGCCACCCAGGTGCCCCTGTTTTCAAATTAGTGTTTTTGTGTTCATATTCATATGCACCAGTTTGCATTCCTAACTGCATGAGGGTGCTTTTTCTCTACATCTTCACCAACACTTGTTGTTTCTTGTGTTTTTTATTTTAACCATTCTAACAGATGTAAGGTGATATCTTTTTGTGGTTTTGATTTGCATTTCCCTGATAATTAGTGATGTTAAGCATCTTTTCATGTGTCTGTTGGTCATCTATATGTCTTTGGAGAAATGTCTGTTCATTTCTTCAGGCAATTGGTTATCAATGTCAGGTAAACATCACACGTTCAGCCTTCCAAGGACTGTACAGCTGGAGCTGATAGCTGCCATTTATTGAGCATTTACCCTGTGCAAAGCACTATATCAGGGCTTTATATAAATATTACATTTTTCTTAGCATAGTACATCAATTACTGACCACATATTATTTCATTAAAAGCTTTTGGTTTATGTTATTAATTTAAATCTTTAACTGTTATATGTCCTAATGCAATGTCTGTGGGGCAAACTAGGGCATGATCCTCATCATCCAGTTTAGGAGGAATAGCAGTTTCTTTGGGCTGCTATTTCATTGTTTGTAATGTAAGGGGTTGAACTCTTCTCAGTCCCTTACAGATTAATTGATCAGTTAATCCACTTTCTTGTACTGCCTTAGCAAACCTGTTCGTAATTTGTTCAGAGTAAATCCTCAACGAATTTTGTTAAACGAGTAATAGTTACTCATACTTTGAGTATTGTGGTCATTGTATACTTCCCTAGTTATTGTCTCAAGGATTTTGATGTTCATATCCTGTTAAACAAGAAGACTCTTCCATAGGCATAAACTAATAATAGGTACCATTTGTATTGGGAAAACTCAGTTTTCCACCCATATGTCTTCCTGTGTAGGGAAAACCTCATTTCTTTTCCTCCTGTGTGTCTCCTTTACCACTCATATAGAGGACTTCTGACACTTCGGACAAATGTGTGGGGACTTTTCCCCCACCAGGCAATTCTCTATGACACCAGCTGTGGGTCCTATAATTTAACTCAGTCTAACTCTCCCTGCCTGGAGATGGTGTCAGATCCCACAGGTTAAGGGCTCAGTCTGACGAAACTGCTCCCACCCCACTTCAGATGCCAACTCTTAGTAGTAGGCCCCCAGGTTATCCACAACTTCTGTCAGATTTGGCTACAAATCAGGGGTTCCTGTGACTCCCTCCTTGGATTCAATTACTTTGCTAGAGTGGCTCACAGAAGTGAAGGAAACACTTAAGTTAACCAGTTTATTAAAGGTCACGATAAAGGATGTAGATAAACAGCCAGATGAAGAGATACATAGGGCAAGGTCTGGGACAGTGTCAAGGATAGGAGCTTCTGTGCCCATGGATTTGAGGTGTGTCACTCTCCTAGTATGAATATGTTCACCCGCCTGGAAGTTCTCTGAACCCCATACTTTTGGTATATTTATGGAAACTTTGTCACATAGGTGTGATCAGTTATTCAGTCCATTTACAGCTTCTCTTCCCTCTCTGGAAAAGGGGGTAGGGCTGAAAAGTTCAAGCTTCTGCTTATGGCTTGATCTTTCTGGTGACCAACGCCCACCCAGAGTTGCCTCGTGAGAACAAAAGATGCTCCTAGTACTCGTTTGGGTTTTTCTGTGTGTGTGGTTTTTTGTTTTGTTTTTGAGTAAAATGATAGAAGTTTACTAAGTGAAGATACAGAAAAAGCTCTCAAGAGTGAGAGGGGTCCTGACAGGGTTGCCCGCTCCTAGTACTCTTATCACTTAGGAATTTACCAGGGTTTTAGGAGTTTTGTGCCAGGAACCAGGGGCAGAGACCAATATATGTTTTATATTATCTTATATCATTTTGTTGTGTGCTTCTGTGTCAGATACTGAATGTAGCATTTTATTTACATTATTCCAATTAATCCTTACAAAAGCAAACATCTTTCCCAAGTCACTATCATTTTTTGCCTGTTTTAACTACAAGCAGATTCCTAAATGATCTCCCTCCTTCCATTTTTGCCCATCCCCTACAATCCATTTCCCACAGAACTTGCAGAGTAATCTTTAAAGATCTTGTCCTTTCCTCACTTAAAAGCATCCAGTGACTTCCTCTTTCATTTTAAATTAAAATCCAGGGGTGCCTGGGTGGCTCAGTTGATTAAGCATCTGACTCTTGATTTCAGTTCAGG